GGTGTGCCGGACACAGGCAGGGATGCTGGGATGCTGTGCCGCACACAGGCAGGGATGCCAGGATGCTGTGCCGGACACAGGCAGGGATGCCGGGATGCCGTGCCGGACTCAGGCAGGGATGCCGGGATGCTGTGCCGCACACAGGCAGGGATGCCGGGATCCTGTACCGGACACAGGCAGGGATGCCGGGATGCCGTGCCGGACTCAGGCAGGGATGCCGGGATGCTGTGCCGCACACAGGCAGGGATGCTGGGATGCTGTGCCGGACTCAGGCAGGGACACCGGAGCATGGGCAGCATGTCACTGGAGCCGCACTCCCCAGCTGGGTGAGGTGACCCCAGTGCCTCCTTCTCACCTTGGTTACAAGAACGGCTTTGGAGATGCTTCTCCTTTTGGTCATCAAGGAAAAATCTTAAGTTTAGGCGAGACGGTTGGTTACAAGATGTCAAATGGGGGAAAGGGGGGGTGGGAGCGCTCCCAGCCCATCTTCCTGCAGGGCCTCGCCTGGCTATTCCTGAGCTGGAGGATTATTTCCATCAATTCCCCTTCAACAGAGAGACAGACGGACGGACGGATGCTCAGACACACACCACCTTCCACGCACCGCCGGGATTTCAGCATGCTAACGCATCATTTCCTTGCAAAGGGCACTCCAAGCTCCTGCAGCTATCTCGTCCTTGTTTTACACCGCTTCCCGCGCCAGACCAGCCACAGTAGAAGAGCAGGATGAGATGATTTGGGTTTTGGAAAGAAAAGCCAAGAGCAAGAGGAACTGGGTGGCTCCAGCCCCACCACTCAGACCGAGCACCCCCAGGCTTTCTCCCCCTGATATTTTCTCCAAAGCTCACGCTGCTTAATCCAAAGAGCGCTTCTACACTACACACAAACCAGCTGCTAAACAAAAGGCAATTGAGAAGAAAGATCCATTTCCAAGATGAACCACGCAGCTCCTCTGAATTACGGCCCTGCCCTGCCACACGGTTGAAGCCGTTGGCAGCGGAGCTCGCACCACAAAAGCTGACCTTTAAGGATTTCACTGCTCAGAAAGAGGAAACAAGATTGTTTCCAAGTTTCAAAACCACTCCTGTTATTAACTGCTCTGTCAAGTGTTAAGAAATAGTCTTTCAAAGCAAAAAAACACCAGCAGGATCCGCTCAGAAATTGGTTTCCTCTGCCACAAGCAGGCAACACCCGACCGTGGGCTCGGCCAGAGCTCTGCCCACGCTCTGCACCAGCGCCGCTCTCCTCCGCTCTCACCGAGCGCTGTTCGCAAGCAGTGCTCACCGACTGGCATTTAAACCAGATGAGGTTTTCCAGGATGAGGATACCAGAGGAAAGTCCATTCAGTCATAAATAACGCTTAGAGCAAGACAACAAAGCCCCTTTGGTCAGACAGCCCCTGAGTCTGGGGTCCCGCCACGGGACACAACCTCACCATGAGCCAGCACCAGCAGAGCTTCTTCCCAGGACTCGTTATTTCCTACAAATGAACGGATTCCTGGTAATTAAATCAACAGCAGGAACCGCAATGGCCAATAGCTTAATATGAAAGCCACAAAGAAACAGAAAGAAAACTTAGCGCCTGGCTCCAACACAAAGATCATGGGCTGAGATTCTCATCCAGCCGATGGCTACGGACCAGCCGTGCCCCAATGCTTCCCCCGCCGTGTGCCAGCCTGGGTCACGCTGCCGGGCTCGTGACTGCTCACCCTGTG